GTTGCGAAAAGTCATCATTAACAAATACATTCAAATTACGGGACTCAAAAACAGCTTTTTTAAAAGATAATTTATCATTAAGAGACCCAAACTGACAAATTATTATTCTAGGCCTATCACCGAATTTCTTTCCAACTCTCCTAGCATCAACATATCTCAACACAGACAAATTCAGCTTATTCATAGCAAAGAGTTTAACTGCCTCTAAAGTATCATTAGCCGATTCTCCAGCCCCTTCCTCCAAACCATGTATTATTACATTATTAATTCTTCGCTGATTATCCATATAATCTATCTCTCGTTCCATTTTCGAGACTTTCGTACTAATATTATCAATAAGAGAAGAACTCACCGACTCCGATCCGCCCGAACCAATCCTGGCCTCAATATCCACTAATCTAACCTCAAAATCAACAAGTGCCTCATCCACATTCTTAAGCCATTCCGTAAGATGGTCGAGTCGCTTTATAAAATCCTCCACCTTGCCATTAAGAGCAGCATGCATACGTAATAATAAACGAACACCTTCTGATACATCAAAATTCGAATCTTGCAGTAATTCTGTAACCTCCTCCTCCTGACCTAAACTACTCCTTCTAGGTCTACTTGGTGTTCTCTCCGGTATAGTCGGTGAATAAGTCTTCCTCTTTCTGCCTTGAGACATAATAAAACAAGCAAACTTACCTATAAAAGAAAAAGGATTCAATTATCTTATCCAAAATGTGGATAGTCTCCCCTTAATATTACAAATATAAACATCCATTATCCCAATTTTTAGATTAATGCCAAACGATTGTTGGATTGCATTGAGCTTTAATAATGCTACTCTTCATTAATTAAACGTCAAGTAATTTGGCCTAGAGCATTAGGCACCATCTAATTAATATTACTATACTATTAATTCTATAATGCATTTCCAATGCAAATTAAATTGGAAAACCATTAAAAGTTTTCTACATAGTTTTCATATGAAATTCAAATGATTTTACATTCAGATATGATATTACGATACAGTAATTTACTAGATACATTGAAAAGAATCATATACATGTGTCATATATGAAGCGTGCTCTTTACATATTTTGATCTTTTTCTCATAATGGTTTTCTAGTATTTAGACAAATGAGGAAATTTTCTTGAATGTTCTGTATCAAAATATATGTTAAATAATTTCCATTTTGTGTATGCACAGAGATGTTTCTAGGAATTATCTAGTTTACATTTGACAAGAAATAGATGTACTTATTTGCTTACTATATTCCCATTTAAACTCTAATTCTTTCAGTTTGTTTCTTTAAATAATATATTAGAAATGTAATATTTTTATTAATTTAACTTTCCCAAACTTACAGAAGGGATAAAAAGAAAAACATTCTCAATATACTGTATATGTGTATTGAAGATGTTTTTTTTATCTTTGTCTATATATATATATACTACTACACATGATATTTTATTTATAAGAATGTAAATGGAACTACATTATATAATTTTCTATTTTCCTGACTGTTATATAATAGAGGGGAACTATGGTGATAGGTAAAAAAGTG